TCAGGTTTGTCTCCCAAAATACATCCAGTGTCTACTGCCTGTGCCTGGCATGGTTTGACAAATTCCCCTTAGCTGAACCACAGTGGTCTCCCCATTGGAAACTGACCATTTGAGATCTTTAAAAATAAAATGCCAAATGCCTCATCACACAAACTCTAAGGGTCCCAACCCCCCGATCATGAGTGTTTGGAGTGAGTGTCACTGTCTCGCACCATCGCCATGCAGGGAGCAGCATGGCAGAAGAGGCAGGTGTCCTGTAAAGACTGTGCCATGCCTGGAACACAGCTGTGAATAATGGCTAGAGAAAGACCCTCCCCCATATCCTCTTTATGCATCATGCCACACTTGGCTTGTCACATAGGACCCCTAGGGCAGGTATCTCAGTGTCCTACCAAGCCAACCCTGATCCACCCTCTCGGTTCTTTGCAGATGCCCACCTAAAGTGCAGCCTTAGCCCTAAGATAGACAAACACCTCCTCGGTCATTGCATCCGAGTACAGAACAAGAAAACCAACAGAGTGCAGAATCTAGGAGGTCTGGGGCTCCCCAGCTCTCAAAATCCTTAACAAGCAAATTTAAGAAAGGAGCTCCACAATGGACAACAGCCTAAAAACTTCCAAGGTGATCTGTCCTGTTCAAATGATGCTGGGGATGAAATCTGCTCTAGGTCCAAACATTCTCTAATTCTCTCCCTCCACCCTGGGAAGTCATCATCCTGGGAGATCATCTGGGGGTCTTCAGTTCTCCCAGCCTCATAAAGAGGAAAATCACGGCCCAGAGAGACACACAGCAATGACCTTTGCAGGAGCCTCATCAGAGCCCACAAGCCCACTCCTTCCTTCCACCTCATCTTGTCGTACTTTGGATGTGCTGTCCAGCCTGTTTCAGTGTGGTTCAAGGGACCTCATGTTCCAGTTCCATGAAAAATCTCCATTAGGACATATCAGGCTTTCCTACATCTCAGTCAATAAGGTGAAAAAAGGTAGCAGCCATAATTATTTCCTAATCCAGGATCTGCAGAGCCAATAGTAAAAAAGGTAGGATTTCTAAAGACCCAATCCAACAGCTATTCCCTCTAAGGGACTTTCCCTCTCTCATTTACTCTAGAATAAACCTTTCCAGTGGCCCTAGCTGAAATTTCCTCCCTGAACCTCTCATGCCACAATTTAAGTCCATTTCTTCCTTCCAGTTCTCCAAGGAAATGGGAACCAGCTGGTCACCATCACCCCTCCAGACTCAGAGGCCATCACTGCAAAGCATCGTTAACTTCCAACAGTGAGCCAGTTATTTGCAGAAAACATTATTCACCACTTGATGCACAAAAGCAGACTCGGCCAAAACCTACTTAAGAAAATTATGTCTTTCATAAGAAACTAACTCCCTATGGGACAAAATAATAGATATTAAATTGCCTTTTCATGCCTAGAGGTGAGCTTCTCGGCTAGTAGACTGTCTTTCTCTTCTGCATTTTCATGGTCATATTTACTCCACACAGTGCTTCTTCCTTGAGAGAGATGTGCACTGATGTAGATTCCTAGTTGGTTCAGACCTCACCAAAGAGACCCACCACATACAGAACAAAGATAATTAAAACAGTGACCCTTCATGTTTCAGCCCCTGCAAATTCAACCAGACATCTTTGAGACAATGACTCCTTTCTCACTCACATGAAAAGACATTTAGTTACATGTTTAAGTTTACCATTGAATCATATCCCTGAGTAGGTGAGCCAAAGTCTGATAGAAACACTTAATAATTGTCTTACAACAAAAAATACATGCTAACATGTGCTACCAGCTCATCCCTCTGAACATGCAGAGCCACGAAGGTCTTAATGAACCATCCAGTCCAATGTCCTCATTTCTCAGCAGGGTCAGCAGAGGTCCAGGAGGACCAAGGAGCTTGCCCAAAGTCACTCTGCTAAATATTGGCAGCCCCTGACTTCTCCTTTGGGTTTGCTCCTAGCTCTGCCACTATCAACAATTTTCAGTTCTGGATAGGTCATTTACTTTCCCTGGACTTTTTTCTTGTCTGTAAATACCCCTGACTTCTCCTTTGGGTTTGCTCCTAGCTCTGCCAGTATCTAACAATTTTCAGTTCTGGATAGGTCATTTACTTTCCCTGGACTTTTTTCTTGTCTGTAAATAGAGGCAGCTGGACCATCAGCTAGGAGGCATTGTGGTTTTTAAGAGTAGCAGCTCTATAATCAGACTGTGGGTTCAAATCCTGCCTGTGCTCTCATGTGATACTGAACAATTTATCTAAACTCCCTGTGCTTGTAAGTTGGGCGTGAATAACCTCATAGAGTTGTCATGAATTTTAAATTAGATAAATCTAGGTAAAGTGCTTGGCAAAGCACCTTGTACATAGTAAGGACTCAATAAATATTAGATATTGTAATCATCTAAAATATTTTTCAGCTTTAAAGATGTATTACTCTAGGACTCCAATAAGGAATAATGACTATCTTTTTTTTTTTAATGGTAAGAGTTCTTCCTATTAAGTTCACACCCCAGGCAAAAATCAAGGCCAGACACAGGAACTGAGGAGAGGAAGACAATGATTACTAGAGACTTGGAGAGTGATTTAAGGAGTCAGGAGAAAAACAGGCAAATAAATTCCTTGAGGAGTCATTTAAGGAGAACCGATGAACACTTCCCTAGGTCCTGCTAATGAAAAAAAACAAACAACCTGTGAAATATGTTGCTAAGCACATTTAAAACACACACGTCCTTTGTCCCAGGGATCTCTCTTATGGGAACATTTGGTCTTGTGAACAACTATATATTGTATAAATATGTTACTGCAGCATTATATTAGAGATGTTTAGCAATGCATATACAACGTATACATAAATGTATGAACAACTGACTGTAAAAACATGTTACAAGTGCTGTGTAGACACCTGTGCAAGGTACAATGGAACTCCAATCAACCCTTGGTCAACTTATGGGCAGTTTTGCCTTTTTCAAGATATTTATTCAGCATCTCAGAGCGGGGTTGAGGAGGCCAAGCCTTTAGAACTCCTGGCCCTATGGCATATTCGACTGTCCTGACACTTTGTATGTGCATCATAAAATTTCTCCAATAATACACACTCAGGGTTGACAGTAGTGACCTATGAGAAGCAAGGGACAGGGGCAAAAAGACTGTCTTATTTTTTTTTTTAACTTTATATCTGAATTTTTACACATTCCACTCTGTGACTAAAGATGATACATGAAAATGCTGTAAGCCAGGATTTCTCAGCCTCGGCACGACAGACACTTTGGGCCAGAGAATTCTCTGTGGTTGTGAGACATCCTGTCCTGTGCATTTTGGAATGTGTAGCAGCATCCCTAGCCTCTACTTGCTGGACACTAGTAGTGACAAGCAAACATGCCAAATGTCCCCTTGGGGGAAAAAATGCCCCCAGTTGAGAACCACTGCCCCAGCCAATAAGTGGGCTGTATTACATATAAATTATTCCACAATAAGTACAAATGGTTCTCAACTTACAATGGGGTTACATACAGATAAACACATTGTAAGTTGAAAATATCGTAAGTTGGGGCCGGCCCGGTGGCGCACTGGAGAGTGCG